TATGATATGATGTCGAACGAAATTCGACACTGTGGTCCCAGGAACTTGCTTAAGAGGGACCGCTTCAGCCCACTTGGAGAAATAATCTGTCGCAGCTAGAAAAAAGACATGACCCATTGCTGAAGGCGGGTCAATAGGCCCTACAATGTCCACACCCCATTGTGAGAAGGGCCATGATGTCACTGTAGGGTGTAAGGGTTCTGAAGGCTGATGAACAAGGCTCGAGTGTATTTAGCATACCTGGCAATTTTTAGCATAGTTTAAGGAGTCAACAATCATCGAAGGCCAATAATACCCCAATCTATGTATCCGTTCATAAAGCTTGGGGTGGGACTGATGCATTCTGCAAATGCCTGAGTGTACTTCTTCAAGGACCTTATTTGCTTCTTACGCGTACACACATCTAAGAAGAATATCATCAAATGGTTGTCTGAAAAGAGCATCCCCTTCAAGGAGGGTATACTTGGTAGACATTAGACGTACACTATTACGCTCGGCATGATCCTCTGGGAGTCTACCATATCTTAGAAAATTAGTGATGGGCTCTCTCCAGTCTTCTGCCTGCTCAAATTTTGCGCATATTGGGTCGAAGAACTCCAGTTCTTGGTTTTGAACCTTAGCTCCCTGACCCCATGCCATTTCATGTTCAGTCTTCTTTTACTGATAGAAGTGCTCCGAATGGGTAAGGAAGGCACTCCGGGAAGAGATTTCTCTCATCATCTACTACTACCTATGTTCTTAGTTCAATATGTCTCCACTCTACCCCCCAGACAGGCGTGGGTCCTAATGAGGATAACTTAATTGTAGTTCCGAGTTTTGGGAGTGCATCGGCCTGTGAGTTTAGCCTCCTAGAGATGTGGCTCAAGGATACATCCTCAAGCTGGGCCATATAAAAGTTTGCAGTATCATGATAGGGCTTGAGAGTGTCCTTTCTTACATCCTAGATCCTTTCTTACATCCTAGATCCCTATAAGCTGGCAAATGACCAACTCAGAGTCGCCATAGATCTTGAGCTGCTCCACGTCTTGATCAAAGGCTATCTCCAATCCAATTATAAGGGCCTAATATTCTGCTTCGTTATGAGAACCGGCCTCGACGAGAGAGAAAGAAAGTGGCAATAATACTCCTTTCAGAGTCAGGAATATCACTTTGGCGCCTACTCGATCAGATTGGAACGCTCCATCGAAATACATCTCTCGTGCATAAGAAAGTTTTGCACATCATACTTCTTCATCGGGGAGGTCACTTGATAAAGGGGACTCCGTTGGTACGGGGTGTTCTGCGAGGAAATCAGCCAAGGCATGGCCCTTGATGGCCCTTTGTGGGACAAATGTGATGTCAAATTCCATCAGCAATAATGCTCGCTTAGTAAGGCATCTTGATAGGCATGGGCGTGTCATGAAAAACTTTATGGGATCTACCCTCGATATAAGTTTTACTTCATGACCAAGCAAGTAGTGGTGGAGCTTTTGTACCGTGAAGATTAAGGCCACACACATCTTCTCTATATGGGGATAATTCTTCTCGGCCCCTATCATGTGGCTGAGATAGTACAGTGCGATTTCTTTCCCTTCATCATTATTCTATGTCAATAATGCCCCGAGTGACTCTTCTAGTGTGCTCATGTACAGGATGAGAGGTTTTCCAAGTACTAGTGTAAAGAGCACTAGAGGGTTGATCAAATAATGCTTGGTGTCATCGAGGGCTACTTGAAATTCTTCATCCCAGAGGTATCTTTCTTTAAAAGGTGCGTAAAGGGTTTATAGCAACCTGAGAGATTTGAGATGAACCTACTGATGTACGCCAACTGCAGTTTAAGAGAGCACAACTCTCGTAGTGTAGTTGGCGACGGCATTTCTTGGATTGCCTTGATCTTGACTGGCTCAACTTCCAGCCCTTGGTGTCTAACAATAAATCCCAAGAAATTTCCTGAACGCACGGCAAAAGCACATTTCAGCGGGCTCATTTTAAGTTGTTGAAGGTGTAACCATAAACATCTTTCCGAGGTCTCTCATATGAGCGTATTTCTCTTTAGATTTTACCACCAAGTCATCTACACAACATTCGATCTCCTTGTGCATCATATCCTTGAAGATGGCTGTCATTGCCCTCTAATATGTGGCACTAGCATTCTTCAATCCAAAAGGCATCATTAGCAGAAGACCCCTTTTGGAGTTAAGAACACGGTGGCTTCCTAATCTTCTGGTGCCATTAGTATCTGATTGTACCCGAAGTATCCATCCATGAAGGAAAAGATCTGACAATGAGCCGTAGAATCAATGAGCATCTTTGTGAATGGTAACAGGAAGTCATCCTTGGGATTGGCTTCATTGAGGTCGTGGAAGTCGATTCAAACCCTGATTGGGCCGTTCTTCTTCTTGACTGGAACAACATTTGCTAACAACTTTGACTACATGACTTCGCAAACGAAGCCTGCTTATCTGAGTTTGGTCACATCAGCATCTATCTGCATTTCGAGGTCAGGCCTGAACCTTCTTGATTTTTGCTTGAAATTTTTGATAGAGATATCGATGCCGAGATGGTGAACCACGACATGAGGATCTAAACTAGGAATCTCATGATATTGTCAGGCAAAGACATCTCCGTTTGCTTGAAAGAATATAGTAAAATTCTCCTTCACTTTCGATGACATATTTGCTGATATGAAAGTGGGTTTGGGGTCGACTTCATCTCTTAGATTTATCTCCTCGAGCTCATCAGTTGTGGCTTGTCTGCCTTCTTCCCATTCTTCTGGGGCTTCTAGCAACTCTTCATCATTGACCTTAGAGGTCTTTCATTAATCTCAAGTGTAGAGACACATGATCCTGACATCTCTGCCTCTAATAGGGCTCCAGAGTAGGTCATGATTTCTTCATCTTTCTCAAACTGAGGCACAAAAAGATCATCCTTGAATATGGACATCGTATCCAGCTGTGGGAGTTTAATTTGAAGGTTATAGGGAAGTTAAGAGTCAGCGATTGTGGGATGAGAAACACCCTCGTATGAATAACACGGTCTTTGAAAGGGTGTCAGTAGTGTTTGTCCCATGCTGGCTGATACTTCATAAACTTGTACCATGTTGCAAGATTCCTGAGAATAGAAGCTTTACCCCCTTGATTCTCTCAAAATCTACTCAAAGTTAGGCTCAGGGGGCCATTGGGAATTCTTTGATTTTTACTTCTTATGGTTCTTTGAAGAAGATGGCTCTGCTTTGGCTCGAGCTGCCAATGCATCAGCAACTGTTAAGAACCCAGCTGCCTAAGCTAGCGTCTTTTTCAACTGCCTCCATTGCATCCTTCTTATATTGGTTCCTTCAAGTTCTTTGTCAACGGCCTCGAAGTCTAGACATTTTAAAGTTGTACCTGCAGGAGTCATAGAAGAGGAGTGATGAGAACAAGAAGAAGAAGAAGAAGAAGAAGAAGGAGAAGGGTCAGTAAGTGAGGGACTTTTAAGGTCGTTCCCCTCGTCGGACCGATCTAAGCAGCCTTTTGCATCATCACTAGAATTAGACATGTGCAGGGAGTCTTTTAAGTCTTTCCCCTTCTTGGACCATTGGGGAGTGCTTTTAACACCGTCACCCTCATTGGACATACTCCGAGTAGAGGATGACTCAAGTACATCCTCTTGATGGGGTAAGGAAGTGAGGAAGATCATATCAGGGATGAAGTCCTACAAGGTCGGCAATGGCAGAAGAGGCCTGAGAAATTCCTGCTCAATTGGAGTTTGAGCAGTCTTGTTTCTCTAGAGAGCAGCCCTTGGTGCCCATCTTCTCTTGAATTTCATTGGCAGCGGTTGATTCGTCTCGCTAGGTTTATGAACTGCCCTAGCTTAACAAACTGCTTCTCACCTTAAGGACTTGAGTCTATTCCACCCATGATGGAATATTCATGGTTGAGAGGTTGAGGGTTCAGTAGGATCTGAGTCATCTTCACCAAGGACTTGTGTCAGGAGGTCCCCTTCTATTGGTGGAGTAGTGGTTTGGGAACCTTTCTCTAGAATGTTGTAATGGCATCCTTGTATTTTCTTTGCGATTATATCATGGAAACTGAAGCATTCGCTCAAGTCGTGGCCCCATATATGATGGTACGGGCACCAATGGTTCTCAGTTCCCTGAGCGAGGCATCGAGGCTGTCTTGCGAGTTTTGGTGTGACAAGGCCTTCTTGAAGCATCATAATAAACAAGGCGCAAAGGAGATCAGGCTCTTCATCTTCCACTTGGACTGTTACTGTGTGGGAAGCTTCTACCGTCCTTAATGCCTTTTTTAGCTCTTCAAGGTTTATCTGGCCCTTCTGAATCAAGGTCTCGATAATGTCTTTTAGCATGTAGCAATCCTCTGTGGGGTGGTTGATCTTTCGATGGTAAGAACCATAATTTTCCTGGGTATCGAGTCCAGCTTGATCAGGGAACTTGGCCTTTAGAAGCTCGATCATGTTCTGTTCCAGCAATAATCGGAGTAGTGCAAGGACTCATTCCTTCTCTAAGGGGTAGACTTTATTTCAATGCCCAGTCTAATAATCATCCTGATTAAGGTTCGCTGGTGGGGGTACTCGGTTGTACGACTGTTTTTACTTGCCTATTTGAGGCGCTTTCGCTATGTTTACCCCTTTGGAGAGATCCAAAGTTTGGAAGGGAGCCTTCTTTGGATCGCTTAGTGACGGCTATGCTGATTACTCCTTTTGGTTGGTTGCCCCGAGTATTACTCCGAGAGCTACCATTGTTCTGATTGTTTCCTGATCTTGCAGACTATTGTCGTGACCCGCCATGGTGGTGTGATATACTTTCTATGCGGACCGACTTGGAGATCAGCTCAGACATGGAAGTCGGATTGGATTCCTCAACATGTAGAGTAATCTCAGGTCGCATGTTCTGCACAAAGGTTTGAACCGCTTCCTTCTCAGACATGGGATTGGGATGGCGAGCGGCCAAATTTCTCCATCTTAATATGCATTGATCCACAGGCTCATCGGGATCTTGGGTCAAGGTGAGAAGCTCGATGGCTTGAACCTCTCTCTCGACCTCATAGAAACGCTGGTGGAGCAGTTTCTCCACTTTCGCCCATGTATTGAATTTGGGGAAGCTGAGCATACCACTGAAAAGTCGGGCCATCGAGGGTTTCAACAAACTGATGGAGAAGGATTCTACACTCAGCCACTGTCTCTCAACATGTTGCTTGGAAGTGAGTGATATGTTGATTCGGGGAGGTGGTTCCATTGAACAAGGGAAACTTCCCTTTCTTATAATCTGAGGGAAATGACACCTAGTCAATGTATGACGGGTATGGTTTTTGATAAGGCGTTGCACCCTGTATTCCCGTAATTTGTCTATTCTTTAAGCTATGGGTCACCATAGCATCGATATCTACCTATGAGTCGGGGTGGGGGACAAAACTGCCATGTGAGGCAGAGGGAAGGGGCTGCCTTAGAGGTGTATCATCAGAGTGGTGGGAATCGACCTCATCGTTAGTCGATTGTCATGAGGCATCTATGAGATCAATCTTCTTCATCATTGCGTGCACCATGTCTTCAAACTTGTTCATGCTCTCTTTGTGAGATTCACTAGGCTCGTTTACAATCATTACACTGACTGTTTCTCCAGGGAAGTCGGCCTTAGTTGCAGTTGAGGGCTTCCGGGCTTGACAGGTTGCATGTGGCAGATCGGTCTGCAAAGGAACAACATGCCCCGACTGGACTCGGTCTTGTATACTGATCACGTGAGGACCGGTTCTTGACAATCTTGGGGCCGTGGCTGTGGAGTGCCTAGGTCATTTTCTTCAATACTAACCATTGCGCATGGTTCAAGGACTTCTTCTTCAGGCTTTGTCATCTGCAGTGGGTAGAAGGGGTTCAGGTGAAGAGGGTCATCAGAGCTGGTTGCCCCGACTATCTTGGTTGCTTCCTTAGTCAGAATTTACAGACCCCTATCACGTTTGGATTTGAGGTTTTGATAGACCACATGCCAGATCTGTGATCGAGACTAACTTCTTTTATAAGAAAGAGTTGTTTCCATTATGTGAAGCAACGGGTGTGGGCCAGGAACTGGGATCATCTTAGGTCGGGGAGGATGAAGGACTTGATCTCCTATCAGATCTTTTCCTCGAGCTCTCATATGGCCTTCAGAGACATGACCAAGATGACGGGGCTGGCTCAAGATGCTACTCTTGGGGAAGGTCTTCGAGTACCATGATTGGAGGTGCTTGCTTGAAGAAGGAGAAGCAGGCAAGAGAAGGGTTGACTCATGATGGTGCCTAATTCTGAAGCGAGGGGTTGTCGCTGATGGCGACAAGTGTGTGCCCCTTGAAGAAGGATCACGGGTGACTTGGGGGTCAGCCACGGCTCGAGCAGGTGGTCCAGCCTTAGGAGGCAGAGAACCTCAAGCAGGTGTTTGTAAGAGAGCAAGTGGAAGTCTGCCCCTTACAGGGTGCACTAGTGTGTGCTGAGTAGGAGGGCGAGGAGGTCATCTTCCATGTACTAGGGTTGACATAGTGTTGGCGTTGCCTCGAGTAGTGGGATGTAAATGAACAACGTATGCAGGACCTAGCCTTGGGAGGCCTAATCTTGGACGTTGACTCGAGGTAACATAAAAGTTGCCCCCTGAGGTGTGGCTCTAGTGGATGACCCACGGGCCTTATAATGTGTGCGAGAGGTGGTGCCCCAAGGTCTCCTCCTCGATGTGTCGAGCCTCTAAGGGTCAAGACTCGTGATGGTGTAGGAATGTGGGGGTAGCCTTGCGCCACTGAGGTAATGACAACTTCTTTACCTTTTACAACAAGGGACTGGGCAGCCTTCCAGCGTACCTTAGCAATACGACCTATAAGTGACTTGCTGTGAGTGGCAGCAAATGTGCTACTAATGCAGGGAACCTCGATGGAAGTTCCACTAGGGAAAGGAGAGGGGGAGTTATAGATCTTGAAGTCCCTCCTCACGCCTATATAGGTTAAGACCTGGGAGCTAGACGCTGGGTCTTTGCTCAAAAGGAAGGTTGGGAACAAAGCTCAAGGACTTGTTCCCAGGGAATGCTCGCAAATGTGGGGATCAGGAAATCCCTGATTTGGATAAATGGGTTAAGAGTCAGCAGCCATGTGGTGTGTGAATACAGAGAAACAATGCAAAAACTAACCAAACAAGAATGACCCGATGAAGGGGTAGCAAGTCCCCAGTGGAGTCACCAAGCTAGTTAAGTGCTTCGATCTCACCCTCCGGATCTAGATGATTGGGCGGCATGCATCTCGACTTTCGAGGGAACCCGGGACTTTGAGATCGCTCTCTTGAGAATCTCGCTCAGGAGCGAGGGCAAATATATCAATCCATGAGAGAGGAATTTAAGGTAGGTTTTGGACTTACTTGGGCTGGCTCGCGTGGGTTCCCTCTTAGATCACAAAGAAAGCCCCCTAGTCGTAGAACTGATTCGGAATCGCCTCTCTTGGCATGTATTCTCTTGTTTCTACAATCACACACACATGGTTAATTTTACAAGACAAGTAGGCCGAAAGAGACCCCACCTTGTCTTTGAACAAATGTACATGGACGTGCACATCCAAAAGAAGAAAAGGGTAAGAGGGTAAGTAGAAGAGGAAGAAAGAGGTAGATCAAAGGAATTTTGACTAGGTGGCAACACTAACGCAGCAGCTAGATCAGCAAGTGATTGTCTCAGTGTGGTAGCAAGATAGGCATGGTAACTAGATCGGCACAACATAAATACTACTAGACGTCAGAACGATCATCAGCCAGCCTGGCACAATGGCTAGCCTATGGTGGCAGTAAGGCAGGCACGATAACTAACACCAGCTCAACGATAATACTACCAGATGACAAGACTACCATGGCAATGTTTGTCACAATCTCTTTGTTAAATGAGAGAGAGAAAAGAATGAAGAGAGAGAAAGAGAAACATGCACAATACTACCGATGTCGTGCATGTGAGAAGAAGACGACATGAGCAATGATGGAAAAGAAAAAAGGGAAAGTGGAAAGAGAATGAAGAAGAAAGAGAAAGAAGAGAGTAAGAGAACATGGACAAGGATGAGAAAAAAGATAGGAGAAAACATGGATGACGATGAGCTCCCACCATCCATGA